ATCGAAAATGTGTACATAGGAGAAAGGAGACGGTAAAATTGCGAATGATTCGAATCAATTGCAAATCTTTATATTACGGGGCCCTGGTCATGGAAAAAGTTCCCTCACCCCTCGATTGAGGGGCCACGTGCCCCTCGTGCCCCCCCCCCCCCCCGTGTAGCTACGCCACGCCACGGTAGGGTACTCAGAGGGGGATAGGAAACATTACATTGTCATGACAGCATCGGGGCAGCTGTGAGCAGCATGTATCCTTTCCAGGTCAGGCTACTTCAAACTTGAGTAGTATATATCATCATTGGTGTCCCTGTTTCTCAAATGCGACTACAATTAAAGGTTAGGCCATGGTCTGAAAAATCCATTCATATTTTAAGGTTTACCTCAATTTTTAACTTATTCTGAGTGTATCTTGTTCCTTTTCAAGTGATCAATGAAAAATATAATCAAACAAAACAATACTTAATTCACAGTAGGCTTGCGGTTGCACCAATTAACCGATGTCAAATCCACTGTTATTTGTTCGTTTCAATCAGCTTTGCTATTGTTGCTACGCTGGGAACACCTTGAGAAAGCCAATGCAATTTCTCGACAGGGCCATGCGAATCTGGCGACACTTAATGTGGACCATCTTGTGGACAATTTTGAATCGTTTATCATTTAATCAGGTTATGATAGCGACACTTAGGCTTGAGATATATACAAACCAGACTCGTTCATACCTTCAACGTTTACTTTGTCGACCTTAAGAATGTTTTCATGTTGTTCCAATTTTTCATTTCTCTAGGCACTCATCGTCTACACACTTCCTTGTGGCTTCCCCTCCATGCTATTTCGAGCATACCAGGGCTTCGATGAAGAGCTGTCGATGCTTAAAGGGACCACAAATCCAGGGGAATAGTGTTACCTATTTATCTGGGGAAACATTCTGTGGCTTGTCGAATTCAAAATGATTTTAAGAAATCGGCTTAGCTGTAGAATATCCCAACGCAGTATTACATCGTATCAAAGTAATGGGGTTAGGGCCACGGTCAGTGTTAGGGTATTAAGGATTGTGCTAGGGTTACGGTTATGAGTAGGTTTAGACATCTGGCTCTACAGGTGTAAATCTGACATTTGGTTTTATCTTATCAAAGATATGAGTCGCTCGGATTTCAAATGCACATCATTATATTACTATTACGTCTGTCCTTACTTTATTCCCCTGTAGATTCGAAATTAAGGATGTAATGTATGTACTCAATGTTATTCGTTCTGTACTGTATTCTATAAACCAATCATTACCTATTGGCTTCTTCTGTTACTTTTAGGCCCATATCATTCTCTTTCCCTTTCAATACCCTTCCTTCACTCCAGTTTTCATTGCAATGTAACATTTAAAAACATACGCTATTCTCTATGAATAGTTTTAAGAAAATACAAACCCTACAAAATCTGGTTCAAGAAAACAACCCACTCGGGCTACTCCCCTAATCCCCTTCGCCACTCCCCTCATTCGTGTCTATCCATCTTCATAATAAACTGAGAGGGGAATAGGAAACATTGCATAGTGGAAGAGCAGCTGTTGAAACCATGAATGAACGACCTCTGAGGGCGCGCGTCTGCAAGAGGGTGACGAACTGTGCTCGGCATTGGCAGACCGATGACATCTATACGAATGTGCAAGCTTAATAATTATTAAAGGCCTTGCTTAAAGGCTTTGGAAAGCTATGTAGATTGTCAACAGTATAGGGAATACGTTATTATGCTGTACATATTTGGGACCAATAGAAAAAAATTGAAACATTGCACACTTTAAAAAAAAACACCTCTATTTGAAGAAGGGTGACGAACTAGCTCGGCGAATATTGGCAGACTGGTTGCATCGAAGAATGTGATAGAACAATATTAAAGGCCTTGTTAAGCTATTAACGTAGGGTATCACATATGGAAACACAGTCTGATGCTGATCATCCTAGAGACATCGGCAAGTTAAAATAGAGAGAGAGAGAGAGAGAGAGAGAGAGAGAGATGGGGGAGGAAAAATAGAAGGACAGCGTCTAAACTTGTCGACGAACTAGCTCAGCTACTCTTGGCGGACTTACATGTTGAATAATATGGTAGCAAAATATTTAAAGGGATCATTTAACAATGTTAAATCTGAGATACACGGCCCTACGTGTTATCAGTGGCTGTGATATGTTGTAATATTGAAGTCCTAAAAAAATTGCGCTCCAAAATGATCAAGAAGTGCCTCAAAAAGTAAAAATCTTTGAGTGACCGGTTTTACCATACTCGTTTTCCCTAATAGACTGTAGTGTTATGAAAACCGTCAGGCGAACGGTTTTCAAAATTTGTAATTCCAATCATAAATATCTTGATAATCAGACAGGCGATCGGGTTGTAAAAGTCATGGGGTTCCTGACTGACCTAAAGGTTTATAGTTATCATTGCATCATGAGCTAAATCCAGAATTTTGTTTCAGAATCTGAGACAAAGTTACCGGATCCCTTTAAGGCCTTGCAAACATAGAGTGAGTTTAACAATAACAGGGAAATACAGCTTGATGCTGCATATCGTTGGGACATCAAAATATGAAATAAACTGAAGAAAAAAGTCTACCGGATCTGAATTTAACGAAGGTCGCTAAACTAGCTTGGCGACTCTTGGTGGACTCATGGCATTGACATTTTGTTTGGCAAGTGTCACAAAAATTGGGAAATAGAGTATGATGATGTACATCCTTTGGATACTTTTAAAATACATTGTTTATTTTGGAAATCCACCACGCGTAAATTTGACGATGGTTGACAAACTAGCTTGGCGACTTCTGGCGGACTTATGGCATTGGTTAGTAAAAGCAAGGAACGTAGACTGCTGTCAGAAGATGGGAGGGGGGGGGGGGTTGAGGGTCGTAGTCAGAGGGGTAGTTATCTCAGTTATTTTGAAGTGGTGGTTATATCGGGGAAAGGTTTTTTTCTTTTCGGGGGGTTTCGGGGGGGGGGGGTAGGTAACTTAGGGCGATCGTCTATGAAGAAGTGTTCTTCGAATATTCAAAATATTTAAAATTCTACTATTTTTAACTGTATTATCTCACTTCAGATTTTGAAATCAAGAAAATGAGGAGGAAATCTGCCACGTGGCTCTCTTTCCCCCATATGATACAGACAGTCACATGCTTCTGATGAAACTGGCAAGATTTCAAGTGCAAATCAAAAACAGTTTAGGCAAGAATGCCATCTGCCCTAGGTGTTAAAAGACCAATTCATATGAAAGTCACGTATAGAACACACATGTGACTTATTACCACTATCAAACTCCCGAGATTTATTTACAACCAAAGTCTACAAATATAGCTCTGGAGCCATCTGGAAATGATCATTCACAGCCTCGACCAGGGATTACCCATCGTCATGGCCACATCAGCGACCACGGAAACAATACGCGTCGTCAGAAACACCATTTCCTGGTTGCATATATTTCCTTTCTTCCGAAATCAATGTCATATTTGGGTCAAAATAAATAAAAAACAATCAGCATATTCGAGACACGGAACCAAGTGATCATAGTTCCTCGACTTTGGGATAAACATATACTATACCATCGGAAGTTGTTGGCGAGAAATGATGGCGTCACCGGTTTTAATATCACGATTCCAAGATGATTTTTGCGTACTGCAATAATACATGTTTTCTCACGATGTAAGCATCATAATGCGTCGAGACTAGTTTGTGCGAATGTGGTTTAATTCGAAAGGATGTTACAGGGACAATAAACTTGAAACAATATGACCAATAGCATTTTCCCCACTTTGTAGAGAAAGTATTGCTAATGGGATCGTTCATTATGATATAAGAGTTATTCTCACAGGACGGGTTTCGTAGCACACTGCATGGAAACGAACATCCAACATAATGTACTTCAAATAAATACGTGAGCAATACACTCAGGTACATCACTAGAAAAAAGGTAAATAAGGCAGTAAAATAATCTAACAATCTAAATTAGAATATGAATACAGATACATAGAAATCCCTATCAAACATCACTTTGATGCTGTTGTTATTTTCTAATGTGTATTCTTGAACACCACAGCGACACTTGAATTCAGTCTCTTATTCACATCGACGATGATTCACTAGTAACATGAGAAAAAATTATTACAATTGTAAATTTGTAAGAATATGATCCATGGAGCTTATGTTTTCACATCTGGTATGTATTTCGTGCGAAAAGAGAAAATCATGACTATAACCACGCAACAAAATACGTGACGCGACATTAAATCAGGTTTATTACGAAGAGAAGAAAATAATCGAGAAAATGGCGACTGATGAGAGAAAAGTAGAGGATATAAGTGGAGGTGGTTTGGAAGAAGTGCGGTGGGGGAAAAGGGATGAAACTTCCGCGACAGATCCCCCCCCACAACCCTCGTCGACATAACTGATGAATGGTAACTTGGTCCCATGGATATTCTGTGTAATTTCATTTTTGGTCGTCGATATATATGAAAAAGAGTAATCCTCTTGACTAACACAAATTGTCCGAGAAACGGTTTTAGATAAAAACGATACAACATCAAGAATCGAAGAAATCCACTCATCTTGTATTCTAATATTATATTCAGGAAAATTGTGAGGTTAAATTGTTTACGAAATTGATGATTACCTGGTATTCAGTTTTAATATAAATATTTATCCATTAGTCTTTGTTGTTTATCAATGGGTATCAAGTCTACCGTTTTTTCTTCATAAATAGTCATATATTGTTGTTAAGCATAACTTCTCGCTTCATTTAGGAACGTGACATTCGATTTGATAGTTGAGATGCGAGTATAGGGTATACTTTATATTCATGTAGGAACAAATCCCACGACGATTCCTGAATAATACGACCGTGCCCAAACCAAAAAAGCATGACGACAGAGAACAACATTAAAAAGTTCATTTACAGCAGTAACACGCCGTACTCAAAATAGTTTCACGTCGGCAAAATAGAGAAAGGCAATGTCTGTTAGGTCGCCCTACCCCTCCAGGAACAACTTCCAAGTTCTGCAGACAGATCCAAGTTCGACCTCTAGCTTTCATGGCCACTTGGCTCTCAATACGATGACCTTTGACCTCCACACGTGAGCCATTTATTACCCGCAGACAGACGAGGTTGGCTGTATCCATACATGTATAGGCTGTACTGTCAAGCAAAGCATTCGATCCGTCGTCGGACAGGAGATCGTCTTCCATCTTAACTCCTCGTTGATTGCACTTTTGTTATCGAGACAATTAAGATAAGGTCTGTGGTGGACGCAAGGGAGTTGGCATCTTGTTATCTTGAAGATCCATTGGCTGGGGAAGTGGGGGTTGGTGAAAATTGTTTAACATGATGTTGTGTCAGGCCGACTTTTGTGCACCTCTCATGATGCCCAACTATTATGTATTTAAATCTTTAAATAAATAAATGAACAAAATAGAGGAATATATGATTAAACGAATACATCAATACTGTTAATGTTATATCATTTTGTCAACTCTGTGATGTTTTCTATGTATTGTTATTTCTTACCTGGAAATTAAATATATACAAAACATATACGTTAAAAACATACATAGCCTAGGCCTACATACATTTTTTTTCTTCCAGATCAAACGACTCTTCAAATACAAATTAATAGCCATCGATTGGTCTAGTAGGTCCTTTGGCAATCCGGCTAAATTCACCTGGTAGCCCTATACCACCCCGTCCCGCCCTTCGTTGCATTTCCAAAGAAATCAGTTTGAACAGATATTACTGTGCACTCGTTGAAATCCAGTATTATTGCCTCTGTCTAAGAACTTTAGATAAATAACATTATTTTTTCTTCTCGACTCAGAGTACATTATTTCTCGACCGTGCCGAATATAATTGTACCATGCATTAACCTAGTTTAAGCATGGTCAAATTAGAAGGTTAACTAACAAAAAAAAAAAAAAAAAAAAAAAAAAAATGAAGCATAGCTTCATGTTGAGCACACACATTCTGCAATACGACACTGTCTTTATTTTAGCCCCCGTAATTGGAAGACATTCCATGAGAGTCCTCGTTTAGGCCTGGTCTAAAATTACTTTCTACAAAGGAGTTCGATGGCATATTCAATCAGAATCCTCATTACTTTAATTCCCATCTGAGAATTCAAAACATTCAAGGGAAACATGAACTCCATCAATCGAACATCGGGTTAACGAAGACCATGATTTATCAAGCTAAAATTACCCGACAAGGATTTCCCGTGAACTGATTTTCAATACGCCCGAAATAACCCTGCTTTAATAATCCAATTGACATGCCTGGTATAGTTTCTAGAAAACTCAAATAGCAACAAGATGTATGTTCCATGTTTCCATAGTATAATTGTGATCAACATCGACAATCAGAGTCCGCTACATTAGGTTCTCAGGGACACTTATTTTGAGCAATAGAATAAAGTCAGTTTTTCAATGAATGTTAGAACCTTATTTATATTGACAGGAGGTGGATCATTCATTTATCATGTTTAAAAGACTTTTGTTTGGATATACTTAGCAAATATGCTACAAACAATAAATATAAAGGGACTAAATTATATACTACGGTGAACATTGAAAATGAAAGTAGAGGCAAAGAATGAGATTTACCTTTAAATCTTATTCATGATTATCGTTAAATATAACTTATATTTATAACTCACAAGTCTAAAATATGTAGCATTGTATTCTCTTCTATTTCCAATTTCTTTCGGTTTAGTAAAACTTTAAAGTAATTTTCTTCACTTTAGTTTAATTTGGTGATGACTATTACCATGATTACTTTACTAAATGGTTAATAAAATCAAATACAAAATGATTAATTTAGTCTCCATAACCGTTTTTTGTTTCAAACATCATTCTCGCTGACCAATGTACGGTGCAAGATTCCTCCAATTTTACATTTGATAATTTCAAGTTAGAATACTCTTACAAGTAGAAATACTCTAAGAAGTAGAAATACTCTTAAAAGCTTTACAAATCTGACAGGTTTCATATTCTCCTAGGTCCACGTCTCTACAGACAGACCCTCCACCGGTATTCATGTATCCAAAACAAAAAAGTGTATCAAAATGTTCAGCGTGGCAGTAAGCTGACACCAAACTTCATTTTCTAGGAAAAATATTTGCTTTCATTTGTGATGTGAACGTGTTACTATCACATCCATCACTGTCAGCTTAGCTCAGTGTCATTTGGTGTTAATCCGGTGTTAACCCGTCTGCCCTTTGACCTCTGACACCCCTGGTGACATAAAACTGGAGCACGTCACAACTTTATGTGCGTGCGTGGTACAATAGAATGTGTTTCAACTGTCCCATATATTGCAATCTGTGTCAGACAGAGGTGATTACAATGCTGAGATTTTAAAGTGGTAAAACACCCGAAAACACATGGAACGTGTTATTGTGACACCACATTGATAGCTTACTCAATTTATCTACAGAAGTATGTGCCTTTCCACAGTTGATTCATCATTATTATGTATTGTGTGTATCTGTGGTATAAATAAAAGGAAGCATAATGACTCATGTGTTTGTAAATGTTTCAGATATAACCGTGACAAAAGACAACTGTATTAAACTCGTAACAAAACTTCTACGGTTTTTCTCTCAATCACTAATACGAAGAATAATGTTATAAACTTATGACAAGTTGAAATTGATTTAAATCAACGAACCCTTTTGTCTTGTTTCGAATTAGACTATATAGACTTTTAATTATAAAACACGGTGCTTATAAACTTGAATGATATTGGTAGCTGAGATTTTTTAATAATTGTTAATCATCATTCGTAAGAACTCAAATTACTTAATGAAATCATATCCCAAACTTTTTCATAAAGTTAGTAGCCGGTCATAAATTATGTTCTTTATGCCTGCAATAACCAGTTTAGTGCAGAACAGAACATATTAAAGTAAAAATGCCATCCCTGCGCCAACAACTTTCAGGCAATAAGAAAACCCCAATTCTCAATCTGTCCATTCGTTGTTCGTACTTTCAAATAGTTATTCATTCAAATACTACCAGGCACCTACTACGACATGCATTTGTTTTAGTTCGAGTCTCCCAAACGAATTACCGCTCTTATTCAATCTCGACACTATTATTACAAAATCGTGATAACGTGATAGAAGCGTTTCGATTTTCAACCCATTACCTATACTGGAACGGGATTGTTCCTGTATTAAAGATAAAGGTGGGTTCTGGTAATGCGATTGCATTGTGAAAGAAAAGGTGTGGAATGGATCAGAAAAAAGTTGATCATATAGCATGTAAGTATTGGTGTGTACTGCAAGGTTCTGGAGTCATCAAAATCATCATAAATTTGGCCCAGTCTTGGTAAAGTAACAATCACTGTACACAGAAAGATGTATATGGGACAACACAAATGGTGTCGGGGCTAGTACTACCTTGATTTCCTTATCTTTCTATGCTCATTACCCAGCCAGTATACATTTTCTTCCAAAATTGTTTGGCACACGACATTTATTTGTAATCTTGAACATTCAGTGTAAGTTTCGTTAGATTCTGTGAGAATTAATTTTTTTTTTTTTTAACCAGAACTCAAGTTTATCTTTAATATAATACATACTGTATGAGGAATATAAATTAAGGTAAAGGGTGGTGAGAGGTCCCTATATGCCATTGCCACAGGCATTGTCAAGGCGGAGTTTTAGCGCTGATAACGTAATTTGAATGTAGTTGCTGTGTTCATATCTACGGTAGCCATTATCGAAGGTATACCAATATAAGCCTATATACAAACACCATTGTGTATCTAAACTGGGAAACATGTTCGTCTAAACGCTCAGAAACCACCATGTGATCATTTTGAAAAGTGATCTTACTACCATTATTACAGCTCCCTCCATTCAATCTGCCGAATTGCAGGGTTGCAAGTACATTGAGTAGGAAGGAGTACTACAAATACATTTTTGAAAACATCATTCAACTGCCACAATTCATAGACACCACTTTAACCTACACGGCATTGTCATTTTTTCTTCATTTAAAGGACTTTAATTTTTTTTCAAACGTAGTTTCAGTATGATAATGTACATGTAAAGCCGCCAAAATCACTAGGCATGGTTTAGGATTAAAAGAGAAGATGGAAAACAAAATGTTTCGACATTAGCTGGCGATGGATCTGTGGATTACCCCACTTATGGGGTGCAGCCTGATAATTCAACGCAAAATTGTAAATAAGTATCTTGTTCTTCAAAACTGTTTTCCAGTTGATGGATTTATTGGATTAAAACAAAACCTATTTCTTTGCAAGAATGGTAAGCCAATATTTCGCACTAATTTCATAATACAGTGGCAATTATTGTTGTACCTCATCGGGGAAATTGCTCAAGACCGATTTCATGAAATCACAAATATCAAAAAAAGGACATGCTCAAATGATTTTGAACACGGATTACAATATCTCATATCGGTGACACGACATTTGCTCCTGCGACAATTGCTCCGGGCTTTATTTCGTCTAAGATGTAGGGTTAGGGTTAGGGTTAGGGTTTCAATAGGGTTTTATGTTAGGTTTAGGGTTAGGTTTAGGGTAGGGTATAGTGTTGAATCCAGGGTTGAAGTTAACCATTCGATTAGTGTATGAAATTTACAGCGGAGCAATTGTCGCCGGAGCAAATGTCATGGAATCCTCATATCCTCTCCTTCTTACAATTTTGATTTGGCACTTGTTTGAACAATGACTCTTATTTGCTAGTCGTTAAACGCTCAATACATTGGCGCTGAACCGTTGAGTGCCGATCCTTTCAATATTATCATGATGAAGGTTACCTGGTATTCTGCAGTTACTCCAATCGTTTTCCCCCACCCAATTTTTGTTCTCGTCAAACAAAGCCCCTTTTCTCACTATGGAAGAAAATTACAATACAAGAATCTTACTATTCTGCGTGATTTTGTCTAAAACATAAATGAATACATAATGATATCCGCGAGTGTCAAATTGCCGCCCGATTTTCAAGATTATTGCGTTCTTTGAAATATTGTCACAGGGCCGTAATCTGTTTTAAAACACCAAACATGAGTTGCAGTTGTCGTATCAGGTTTAAGGGGTATAAGGTGCCGGGTCATAGAATGTGTGAACTTGTCGAAATATGTAGAGCATCGGAACGTAAGGGAGTCGTAACTTCTGTTACGACATTCTATTACGAGCTGTCAGAAAAATAAGGGTGTCGAAACAC